GCTGTTATTTTGACCACGTGAGCTTGCTTCATGACACCTAACTATGACGTGTGCCGGTTTGTTTTAGTAGCCACGTGCGCTAGCCTTATGCCTGCCGCAGCGGCGAGCAGTGAGCGATGTGTTTACGTCTGCTATGTGAGCAATCACAGCGGTGTGCTGATGAATACTGGTGAGTCGTACTCATTTTATTAAGATTCTGGTACTGAATGAGAGAGCCTCATCAAAGATTGTGTTGCGCCAAAGTTTAGTGGCAAAAGTGTAAATAATATTGTAAATTTAACCGAAATCGGTCATGTTAGTATACAAAGTACCTCACAAATATCCCCATGATCACGTGAGGAAGATCCCCGATCACCAAGTTCCTCGAGAGTTAGATGTCATAGTTGATGACAGTAGTAGTGAGACCAAATTTGATTAAGAATGGCTTGTATACTCATACTCAAAACTTTAGACCGCACCTCACGAGTAACATGTGGCGATGGGTCAGTAGAGAGTCGTTGCTGCGATTCTTGTCTGTGTTGGTGCACAGAGCCCCTCATGTGTTGTAGCATGTTTGGCGGCAGATATGTAGAGAATCGTTGGTGCGATTCTAACCTATGTTGGTGCACTGAGCCCCTAATATATTGTAGCATATTTGGCGGCAGATATGTAGAGAATCGTAGGTGCAATTCTAGTCTGTGTTGGTGCATAGAGCTCCTCATGTGTTGTAGCATATTTGGTGGCGGATATGTGGAGAATCGTTGTTGCGATTCTGGCATATGTGACGGCAGATATGTAAAGAATCGTTGGTGCTATTCTGGCCTGTGTTGGTGCACAGAGCCCCTCGTGTATTTTAGCATATGTGACGGCAGATATGTGGAGAATCGTTAGTGCGATTCTGGCATATGTGACGGCGGATATGTAAAGAATCGTTGGTGTGATTCTGGCCTGTGTTGGTGCACAGATTTCAATGAAAGTTTCACGAGTTGAATATGCATTGCTCATGAATTATGGTAAAGAGTAACAAAATCGTTAAAATTACTGTATTGGAACTTGTTGATCGGACCTTCCACAATAAATCATGTTGTGCAGGAAGCACTGTGTAAGAAGCCTTAATACGAGTAACAAGGCATTGTCAATTATGACTGTTGACTATTGTATATAGACTTAGGAGAAGTGAAGTACCATTTTGAATTAACCTTATTTCTATTGGCAGAATAGCCGAGCTAGATTAATCTCTGAGCATATTTTGTATACCGGCACTGCAACCGAGGACGGATGCTAGTCAGGAATGGCCGTGTCGTGAATTGATGGCGCCATACTGCAACAAGCAGCACCATCTAACAATTAGTTTTGCGAACTAATAATATGTGCCCACTCATGTCAGGATGGACGAGCGGACGAATTGGTGTTTATTACAGGAATGCATAAAGATACACGCCCGAGGACGGTCGTACTTCAGGATGGCCGTGTCGGAGCGTCTATAAAATATCACTTGGATCGAGGTGGACATGAGGGTATATCGAGAAACTCCCACTTGTTTGTGCAGTATAAAGTTCACCGTAGGTGCCGTGCGCGAGGGGATTCCGCTTCAGTCATTCAACGAGTGTGGTCACTCTACTAGTGGTGCTAAGATAGCGTCGTGGTTCTGTTCGTTGTTGTAATTCTTCTAGTGCAGGCAAGGAGGATTGGTGTTGCTGAGTGGCTGCCCTGTGTTACATTGAGATAAGTAATGTTGCTGTTGGTTTAAATATTTTGGTGTTATCATGTAATTACGTACCTCACGTTACACTGGTGTGTGATTGTGGTGGAGACGTGTTACGGTATGGTCGAACTGTAATTTCACCATACTGAATGTATAGTGCGTTACGTTGTCTTATTTCTGATAATGATTAAACTGCGTAAGCAAGAGAGCAAGTTGAACATCCGCTCTCACACTTTTACTATTTTTAACAATTAACGCTATCCTGATGTATTTCCGAGATCAAAATTGGAATCCTCTATTGTAATTCTCCGACATCAGAAGTGGGATCTCTTGTTGTCATTTCCGATATACTAAACAATAATTGTATTCCAACTTTGAAGCTTCTATATCTGCTAGAAGTGCCTTAGAGTTTTGATGATCGGTCAGTCAGTGAGTGACAAAATTAAGAAAATTTTACTAGTTATAATTCTTAAACTACTGGTTCAAATTTAATGAAATTTGAAATGTACCGAGTTTATACAATGCCTATTTGGTAACTGAAAATTTCGGCGTCCTGTTTTATCCACAACGAAGTTATAGGGTTTCGACAAAGGGCCTGAACTGCTTCGAGAAAAGGATGGTACGGCCGTGCCGCTTTTTTGCTCGACTTGGTTTTATGCTTGGACTTGGTACTGCTGTGCCCCCAGATTGCAAAATAACCATGTTTAGATATTATATATACAGAGTTACAGGCTGCCTTACCTGCTTTCATGCATTTCATTTCTTTCATTATTTCATCTATACTTATCTTCCTACCTCTTTCTTCTTCTTTCAGAATTTCTAGTTCATTTAATTCAAACGTCTCCTCATACATAAACATGCTTTCAAAGTATTTCTTCCATCTCTAAACTCTGAACGTCATCATTCAAAATACAACCATTCTTGTTTTGTATAGCATTCATTCTAGGCTGTTTCGAATCTCCCCGAATGTCAGTTCTTACGAGTTTCCAGAATATTTCCATTTATTTTCCAGAATATCCTGGAAGTTATCAGATATTATTCTATCATGCTTATCCGTTATTTCTTGCTTTTTCCTTACAACTACTTCTTTTATCCTTATTTAGACGTCTAAAGTCTGCCTTTCTGTAACCAGTTTTTTTCGTGGATGTCATAAGATGAGATGATACAGGCAATATGAGGCAATCTATGGCTCTATGAGGCGATCAATGGCTGTATGAGGCAATTTATGGCTCTATGAGGCAATCTATGGCACTATGAGGCAATCTATGTCTCTATGAGGTAATCTATGGCTCTATGAGGCAATTTATGACTCTATGAGGCAATCTATGGCTCTATGGGGCAATCTACGGCTCTATGAGGCAATCTACGGCACTATGAGGCAATCTACGGCAATATGAGGCAATCTATGGCACTATGAGGCAAACTAGCGGCACTATGAGGCAATCTATGGCACTATGAGGCAATCTATGTCTCTATGAGGCAATCTATGGCTCTATGAGGCAATCTATGGCTCTATGAGGCAATCTATGGCTATATGACGCAATCTATGGCTCTGAGACAATCTATGGTTCTATGAGGCAATCAATGACTCTATTGAATGTTTCTAGTTTGTGGGTTCTATGAGGCAAACTATGGGAGAGGAGAGATGATGAGAGAGCCTATGTTCAGCAGTGGACCTCGACAGGCTATAATGATGATGATTAACCATTTCTTCTCCCGGTACTTCCTTTTTTGTGGTAGTATCACGGAAACTTTCAAGGCTGTGCCGATTTCTTGATTATTTTATTGTGTTGACGCCATCTTTACCGATACAAATGACGTGTGTGTATGAAATTCTTTAATGTACCTTTAATAGCATTTAGAGCCAACAATAATATTGCTGTGCATGCTTTTTAGAGCCAACAATAATATAGCTGTACATGCTTCCAATGTGTGTTCACCAATTTCACATGGCTTCAATTTTTTTTTATTCTTAGATTGAATAATTAAATATTTTAATTTGAAAATGCATTTTATTCTTTTCGAAAATTTCTTCAATTTAAGTAACATCAATTAATTAAATTAAAATATAACTAAAGATTTTATGAATATTTAATTTTTATCTCATTATTTCTTTTCATTTTATTTATTCTACCTTTATAGTGAATCTTTTTTACATTACTTCAATATTATTCATTTGTTTTCATATTTGCATATGGATAAAATTAATTGTATTATTATGTGTATTTTAGTAATGCAGGTTTTCCTTAGTGTTTTTGGCTTAGCTTTCCATTTACTCCCATCGAGTTGGGGATTGATACGTATTTTTACATAAAAGTTACACTATTATAAGCACACACATAAAGTTTCAATATGCGGAAACACGTACTTTTTGAGAAAAAATATTATTTGAAAATTAATTATTTTTGCAATGTTTATGTTACATTCCTAGCGTAAATCTGGCGCCATTTTGTAATGTCATTGTCGTCGTCAGTACGGATGTCGATTCTTTCCGAAAAAGATAGATTTTTAAATCGATTCTAATAGTAAGCTGTTGTGATATCACAAAAAATGGATTTCTAAAAAAAAAATAGGTTAGGTTCTACTTATGTCAAAGAACCAAATTTATTGACCCCGACTCCACGTGGTACGAGTCTGTCCTACCCCTAGAGTGGTTATATAGAACCGGTGGCGCGTAGGGGGAGTAGCCTCCGCCTGCTGTAACAAATCGTAGGCATCGGACGAGCCGGAGCGGCTGAGGCTGGACCAACAAGCCGAAGCTGCGGAGGCGAGGAGGCGTTGCAGTCTCAAAATATATACAGAAATCCCTCTGAATTAGTCCCAGTACACCTCTTCTCCCCCCCCCCCCCACCCCTCAATTCGACGAATGTCAATGGAAACTCGTAATAAAGTAGGCTCAAAAGGGCTAGAACCCAGAGCCGTAAAGCCGGTTAAAAAAAAAAACAAAATATTGTTAAAATAAGTTTTTTATTAATTTATTTCTCAAAAAATACGTGTTTCCGCATATTGAAACTTTGTGTGTGTGCTTATAAAAGTGTAACCTTTCTGTAAAAATACGTATCAACAGCAAACTCAATGGGAGTAAATGGAAAGTCGTACCGTGTTTTTTTTTATTGCTGAGCATGTTGTAATTCAGCACAAAAAATTGCAATTAATTTATTGGTTTTAGCAGGGACCCAACCTAATTAGGTTGCATAAATTAGGTAACTGCATATAATTATTAATATGCCAAATTTCAATCATCTTCTAGGAGAACTATGGGGATATAAGCTAGTTTAAAATAAAAAATCAAACCATCTCAATTTTTATTTTAACTTTAATTATTATTTACTAATTTGAATGCTCTTTCATTTTTGTGTTCAGAAACAAAATCTGCATTACTCTTATTTTTATCTTCATTCCATACACCATTTCCAGTAAAATAATGATTTTTTTCCAGTAAATATAGAACCAAGCTTAGTTTTTGTGAACTGCTTAGTTGTGATAAATCTAAACTTTCATGATAAAGCTGAATGTGTGCTTGATTCTTTTCTAATATGTTTATGACATCCTTTATTTTGTTCCATGGGTACAGTAAAATTGGACAATTGTCATAAATATCTTGTGGTGAAAACTTATTTATCAATTTGTCAAAAACAAATTTTATTTGTACCAATGGTATATTGATCCAAAATGGGTGCCTTTTGATTGCCTGTCTTATATCACTAGATTTGAATGTACATCCTAATGCCTGTGAAATACAGAACACTAGGTCTTTCCCTTTTCCCAAACGATCACCAGGTGATTTTTCATATGTTTCATAATGTGCTGCACTACCAGATAAAATATTTAAACTTAGACATTTTTTGTTAAAACTATATAATTTCAAAAGTCTTTTCATGGCTGTCTTATTATAATATATCATTTTAAGGAATCTTGGATGGTTAGAATATGTACAAAATTCTGGAATACTTTGTGCTTTCTGTAATCTTTCTCTTACAGTTTTAGGACTTAGAGTATAAATTTCAAAACATCTCATCTGTGCTTCATTAGATACATTAAATTCTTGTAACACCTTTCTTATTTCTAGCATAGAATAATAGCTCTTCATAGCAATTTTAGGATGTAACCTTACAATTTCTTTAATATCAATTCCTCCAATAGATCTAAATTTATATAATATATTTTTTAAATTATCTGGGTCAGCATGAATTAAATATAAGTTTGATTTTATTTTGTAATGAGGTATCATTAGCTCTGTTTGTAAGATATTTAATGTTTCATTAATAACTTTGAGTGGGCGATGTTTTATTGTCGGGTATGTTTTTAAGCCTCTGTAAAATTCATCACAGCTTAAGTCTAGCATTAGTTCAAGGTATCTCTGAATTATTTTTAGCCTGAGGGAGTATAATGAAATTGTATTTACATCACCATAAACCAATGTGGTAAGTGATGTTGGCCACTGTGTCATATAACTTGCAAGTCTGTTCTCAACATTAACACAGTTTAAAATCAAGCCATCACTTTTCAATTGTCCTATCGTATTTTGTTTAACCAAATTCAAATAGGACAGCAAATGGGCAGGTGTAACATTTTCTATTCCACATTCTTGCAATACTTTATATCGAAATTTTAATGTAACTGGTAATAAGCTACATAGCGCAGGGTATGAAATCATAACATCTTTAGAAAATCCAAGTTCATCAAAAGTTTCAAGTAAACCTTTAATATTTTCTTCATTCAATTTCTTCAGTACTGGTTGCTTTACTAGTAAATGTTTAGCTTTAATCTCGTCGATATTAAGATATTTACAAAGCCTACACACACTGTAATCCGAAACATTTAAACCCAAATATCGGAAGCTACATGAAAAGCGACTGTAAAGATATATTTGTCTTACAAACATTATTTATAAAATATAAATTAAAATAGCATGATTGCACTAACCTGCTATAATGCTATTACATATTTATTTATCTATAGTTCTATGGATTGCGCATGACAGATTGACAGATGTCAGTGCTCTGCTCTCAAATGTCTTTTTTTGTTAAGATTTTTGGCTTGGATGCTTGTTTTTTAAGCAATGTCACATTTATCTCAATATCAAGTGATAATAATCCTTTTTAGTGCACTGTCTCACAATATATTGATGCCATAGACTTAGGATATACGTATAGACCAACATAGTGTGCAAGGGAGAAGAAAATTCCCTATGGCAAAAATGCAAGATAGAAAAGGATACCAAATCTCATGATTCTGTAACCGATTTTGAATGACAGGTCGGCGCAAGTCGGCGCGCAAAAATAAGCTTGTAGATATTTTGTGTGTTTTTAGATTATAATAGTGTTAATTTGTATAATTTATAGTTTTCCAAAATGGTTTCATGTTCCGTTAGTGACTGTGGTATCAACAATAGAAGTAATCCTGATGGTTGCACATTTCACAGGTAAATTAGCAAGACGTCGTCAATAATAAGACACGTCCATTTTTGCTTAAAATTTATGTTATATACATATTTTAAACAAAATATGTAATATTTTCAATTATTTTATTAATTTTGATATTTTGCAAAAAAAAGTCACATTGTTGATAATTTGTATGATTTTGGTGAATTTATTTTTAAACAAAATATTTTACATTTACGCTAGGGATTGACTCAACTATATCAAAATTAATGTCGATATTTATCTTTAATGTGTATAAAGAATCGATACACAACAAAAAGAAGAATGAAATTAAATGCTCGATTTGCGTTCTAAAAACAAAATTTTATTTTGCCGTTTGTCAAACACATTCCTTCTGGATCCTTTAGTTAGAAAAAAATGGTTGGCATTAATTGGGCGAGTTGGTTGGAATCCTAAGAAGAACTCTACAATTTTGTTGTAAACATTTTATTGAGATATATATAAGAAAAAGCAGAGTAAATACAACTTTATTAAAAGGAGCCATTCCTACATTATTTGTACCAGTAAGTATATTATTGTTACAATAAGACTTCATTTTTTTTATAGGATGGGGTGACAAACGAGCACACAGTCCACCTGATGGTAAGCGGTTGCTGTGGCCCATAGACATCTACATCTATCCTCGTTTGCAAATCAAACTGCAGATGCGTTATCACCCGTGAGGACTAAGATGGAATGCCTCTTTTCCAGTAAAATGGGTCCCCGGTTCTCTACACTTACCATACGAAACACAGCAGTGTTAAACTTCTATTTTACGCTGGTATAAAAATTTTACATCAAAAACTTTAGGTAAAAATAGAGATAGATTTTTATACATTATAAAAGTCTATCTCTATTATTATATATTTTCCCCTAGGGGTTGTGTGGAGCTTTTGAATATATTCCTAAGTCACAATGATAAAACTTTTAGCGTAGTTAGGTATGGTTATTGAGTAATGCTCCTGAAGCGCCACTAGATGCCATGAGGCGCGTGATTAGGTGTACCAGGATAGTATAAATTCCATAGTATTTGATACGCGCAACGCTTGATATCCGATTCATGCTTGATGCTCGACGGCCGGTGACCATTTTCTTAACATACTGCGATTGAGAGAATAGAAGAGTGCATCTGCATCCTCGGAAACTTGGTGCACTTTAATGTCTACAGCGTATTTGACTTGTCTATGTTAAGATCATTATATTTTTTAAATTCATGCAGCTAAAATGATAATAAATTTATTATTACTTTATATTTTTCAGGGACAGATCAAAGAAAGAGTAGCCTCATCATATGTCACTCGTGACATAACCCCTCCACCTTTGAAATCACAAGAAAGAAGTGTTCAATTTACACCAAGAAAAAAAATTTTATCTAAAATCGAGAAATTAAAACAAAATCTGAAAAAAAAAACGAAGTTCGGAGCTATTCTATAGATGCTGTTTTAACTTCAGAACTTTGTTAGTGCGATTGAGGCTTCGATATGTTTCGCTTGTGGCGCGACGACAGCGTCGCCACATCACCCCTCTACTCAGACCGGAGATTAATAGTGCAGTCCGATTGCAAGTGCCAGGTATTGCCTTGTAGTCTGCGGTTAGTCGAGAAGAAGGCAAGTAATCTGCGAGAGTGCCGTGAAGCAGAGGCGAGCAGTAAGGCTCAGAGCCGTGCCGAACACTGTAGCGCAGAGAGTAGCTTGAAGGAACAGGAAGTATTATTATTCCAGTGCTGCGATGAACCTTTGTAAAGCTAGATGGCTTGCAGAATGGGAAGGCTGCAGACAATATCTGCTCGGCAGCGAATGAATGAGGTACTTGAGGACGATGACGAAGCTTTTGAAGTTGTAGCTTCCGAAGTTTGTTGGTTGCGTGTTCATATCACGTCGGTTGGTCACCACTGTAGCCGGTGGAAGGAAAAGGGGTTGTAGCCAGTGGAAGGAAAAGGGGAGATCTCCCGCCAGGCAAGATATTCTGCCCGGGGAGCGGCCAACGCTCCAATTGGTAGTTCGGCGCTATTCTATATATGCTGCTTTAACTTCGGAACTTTGTTAGTGTGATTTAGGCTTCGATATGTTTCGCTTGTAGCGCGACGACAGCACCGCCATAGGCATGTGGTATCGCAGACTTTTTTTAGATGGAGCAAAGACCAATATTTTTGTAGAACATTCATTACAGCCCTTCACAAGTCCACTGCTGAACATAGGCCTCCCCCAAAGAATGCCACAAAGCACGGTCCTGAGCCACCTGCATCCATCGACTTCCTGCATGTCTTACTAGGTCGTCACTCCATCTCGTGGGGGGACGCCCTACACTTCGCCTACCGGTACGAGGCTGCCACTCGAGAACCTTTCTTCCCCATCGGTTGTCGGTTCTTCGAGCTATATGGCCGGCCCACTGCCACTTCAGCTTACTAATCCGTTGGGCTATGTCGGTTACTCTGGTTCTACTGCGGATATCCTCATTCCTAAGTTTATCACGCAGAGAAACTCCGAGCATAGCCCTCTCCATAGCTCGCTGAGCGACTTTGAGCTTCCTCATACGGCCAGCAGTGAAGGACCACGTCTCAGTTCCATAAGTCATCACTGGCAACACGCACTGGTTGTACAATTTCGTTTTCAGGTTTTGAGGTATGTCTGACGAGAAGATGTGTCGTAGCTTCCCGAACGCTGCCCAGCCGAGTTGAATCCGTCGATTGACCTCTCGGTCGAAGTTGGACTTACCTAGTCGGACTATTTGTCCCAGGTAAACATAATCGTCAACAACTTCGAGCTTAGTGCTCCCAACAACTACCGGCATAGGTGTGACATGGACATTGAACATGATCTTTGTTTTGTCCATGTTCATCTTAAGACCTATCCGTTGGGAAACACTATCGAGGTCATTGAGCATAGTGCTTAGGTCCTCCAGCGATTCTGCCATAAGGACTATATCGTCGGCAAATCGAAGGTGAGTGATGTACTCGCCATTGATGTTGATACCGTATCCTTTCCAGTCCAGAAGCTTGAAAACGTCTTCCAATGCAGCGGTGAAGAGATTCGGGGATATGACGTCACCCTGTCTTACACCTCTCTGCAATTGGATAGGTTTCGTACTCTGGTTCTGTACTCGGATAGCCATCGTAGCCCTACTGTACAAGCACTTCAACACTTCGATATACCGACAGTCAACTTGGCACCGCTGAAGGGACTGCAGCACCGCCCAAATTTCGACGGAATCAAAGGCTTTCTCATAGTCCACATACGCCAGACATAGTGGCAAATTGTACTCTTCGGACTTCTGTACAATTTGCCGAAGGGTATGTATGTGGTCTATGGTGCTAAAGCCCTTTCGGAAACCGGCTTGTTCGGGAGGCTGGAAGTCGTCAAGTTTGCGCGCGAGACGATTCGTAATGACTCTCGAAAACAGCACGTAGACGCGGCTCAGAAGGGAAATCGGTCTGTAGTTCTTCAAGAGAGCGTTGTCACCTTTCTTGAAGAACAAGACCACCGCACTTCTGCTCCACGCCTCCGGTGTAATGCCACCATGGAGGACGGAATTAAAGAGCTTCTGAAGGACTTCAAGTACCGGTCTTCCACCCACTTTCAGAAGCTCCGCTGTAATTCCATCCTCGCCTGGGGCCTTACCGTTTTTAAGGTGCTGGAGAGCCATTCTAATCTCGCTCGTATATTACACAAATAACATTGTATTTATGTAATACTAAATGTTACGCTAGCGCACGTGGATAAAGCAGTTAGAGAGCGCCTTTTCTTGCGACTTGCGTAACAAAAATCAATATATAAGGTTAGCTGATAGTTATATGCTAGATAGCCTATACTATTCCTCATGAATCTGGCTATTATATGCAAAAATTTTAAATTTGAACTGGTAGGTCCAGAGATTAGTGTTTGTAAACAAACAAAATAACTATTCCGTTTTCTTGTTTCTGTTTCCGATTCTGTTTTATAAATATTAAAGGTAATAATTATATAAAAAATAAAGCAGCCATTATATACTCCCTGTCCTCGTTTTTTATTTTACCAGCAAAACATTTTATAAAATATAAATAGGTACATAGATACTTAATTAAGTATCTACCTATTTATATTTGATTAACATTATGTTGAAAAAGAAATAAATTCCGAGGAAATTGTAAATGGCAATAAATATTTTTCTCCAGAGGTCAAAAATATAACTTTCCGATCTAATTGTTGGAGAAAATTGTTTCATTTTATCGGTAGACTTACCTCGCCTCTTCAGATATTATTGCAATTTTGTACATTTTGAATTAAAGTCCAACAAATGGCAAGTGGTGCCGGTGAAAGAATTTCCACTTCCCAATATCGTCCCATGTGTATCATAAAAGGTGATAAAGGGAAACTGAAAGAGGCGATGGGCAGCAGCATCTTCCTGATAACAACTCGAAATAATCAAAAACTGTGGTTGACAACCCGCTGGCCAAGCGATGGTAAATATCCCCCCTATGAGGTAA